ATCAAGAAATGCCAAAAAAAAAAGAAGCATAGTGGTAATATAGCACTCACATTTAAATATTCTACAACTTTGAAGCATAGCCAAAAAAAAAAAAAAAAAAAGGGGATTGAAAAGAAATAAGTAACGAAAATTATTAACAAAAGGGATTAAATATGCTAGCAGTGCGTATGGATGGGTGGAAGTAGCTAGTGAAAATATCACAGGAATGACACATACCCGGGAAGGTTGAAGGGAAGGAGGCTAGTCGAGGCCCCATGAAAGAACTAGAGGAAGAAGAGGACGAGGATGATAGGGAGCTGAGTTCGCCATGGAAGCAAGTTGTCGAGAATTGAAGAGCTGGAACTGCATGAGAAATTGAAGTCAGAAAAAATGCCATCTCTCAGACACAAAGAAGTTGAGAGGCACGGGGGAGTGGAGAGGAAATAGCCAAGACTTCGAGATTAAACTGGTCGCTCCAAAATTACTTGGGCTTCCAAGCCTTATGCTTTCAACTTGTTGTCCGAGAATTAACAGAGCGGGGCGCCCAACTTTGTTACAAGTTGGATCCATCTAGAATTGGACCAAACCAATTAATGATAACTGGTGGCCTTTTTCAATTTCTTTCGTGTATTCATCGATTACTATTACGGTTAGACGTACGTCACACATGTAAAATTTAATTTTTAAATTTATATTTGGATTAGGCATCATGCATTCAACTATATACACCATAGTTTATAAAAGATTAATCCTATTTCTATTTCATTTTTTGCCTTCTCCTTTTGTCTTCTTACAAGCATTTTTTTTTTTCAAATTCCACAAACGAGTGTCTATTGAGGAAAGCATCTTTTTTTTTTCATAGTACATCAAATTCTCAATTTAGGAGAATAAAGGAATGATGCTGCAACATCACTGCCGGAAATCAAATTTTTAGCATGTCATCTCGAAAAGTTTAACATTAATACTGCCACAAATGCATCTCCCAATTTTTTTTTTTTTTGGTAAAAATATATTTTCTGTCTAGACTGTTCTTGGCACTCTTGTCCACGGTACAAGAATGCATAAAATGGATCTGGCATAAGCCGGCCTGGCCCAGTAGTTTTTTCTACCGCCCCAAGTTCTTAATCTGGGCTCTAGTGTCAATGTTTTGAGAGGGATGTATGGTATGGCCATGTACTTTTGGGCAACAATAACTTACACGCGGGCCTCCAAAAGTCGTTCGCAACCTTTTTTCTTTTTCTTCTTTTATTTCTGGGTGCTGCGGAAGCCACAAAGATGTATATTCCCAATTTCATTCAGTTATCGTGTTTATTTTTCTTTTTTTTTTAATATATATATAAAACAAAATCAGGCATGCCCTCAAGGCGTTTACCAGAATTTTTACAAATCGTCAGTTTTATAAGAAAATAATTTGTTATTATCAATTGATCAAACTCCTGTTGAGAGTCATAAAATTCTATGCGTGGCCCAACTTGCGATTAAAAGTGGAAGAAGGGAAATCGATGTTCTTGACAAAGTATCTGATAAATAGAACGTAATTCCGTAACAAAAAAACAGGGAGGATTTCAAATTTTCAATCAACCATTTGGGTTTTGCTTGAATGATAGCTTGTCAGATTCATATTGTCACTCCACATTTGTGTTATCAATAATATTTGTTGCCGGTGGCCTAACATAATTCAAGCTTTATGCAATTGATTCATGAATCAGATGCATACCCATCAACTATCAAACAATAATGGAACAATCATCTCCTAAAACTCCTGTCCCGCAGTTGATATCTAAAGTACTGCTTTTGTTGGGTGGTTCGTCTTGATGGAAGAAAACAAAGATCTTGAACAGCGAAGCGCCAAATTAGAAAAGAAATCGCTTTTTTTTTTCACAAAGAAATTTTAACATATATAGCAAGTAATCTACTCAAATGATTAATGAACCAAAAAGATGTGTACTCTTGTAAGTTTTATGTATAAGGTGCTACGTTACAACATACTGTGACATAATATAGAGCACTTTTCGAGGCATTAAATAAATAGGCATACAAGGTTTGTGTATTTTGTGTAAATACAAAAGTTCAACCTATCTGAATAATTCATCAGTCCTTTCGTAGTTGTATCTAGGACTGCAAATAACTCGAGTTGAGTCGAGTTTTGACTTAATCGAATCCAATATTAACTCAATTTTACCAAGTTCGAATTCGAACTCAAACTCGACGAGCATTCAATGTAAAACTCAAATTTGATCTCAACATCAAATTCAGGCCTAGTTGATGTTGAATTCGAGCTTTAAAAAAAATATTAAAAAAATATTATTTAAAAAACTGAATAAAATAGTCATTTTTCTTTAATAAATATTAAAGATATATATGTAATTTTACTACATACATAAATATACATACATATATATATATATATATATATATATATATAGACACACACACATATTCGAACTGGTTTGCAAGCTAACAAGCTGAGTTTTTTTTATGCTTGATTCAAGTTCGCTAGCTCGACTTGATTGGCTCAAGTTCGATTCAAGTTCGATGTTGCCCGAACTTGAGTTGAGTATTGACTGAATAGTTTGTGAGTGGCTTGAATCGTTCGCAATCTAGTTGTATCACAAATACGTTCTTAATTATAGCATTAATTAAAAAAAAAAAAAAGAATTGCAAATAATCTTCTATCCAAATACACTACACATATGATCTTTAAGAGTTACAATTTTATGTAAATATTTGATTATTTATTCCGAAACTGACGGATGTTACTAAAGGTATTCAAATACAATTCCTAAGTAGGATCAACTTTCGCAGCTAAGCACTGCCATAAGCAACAGATTATGTGGGGCACGAACATGGGTTTTGGGGAACAGATATGGATTGATCTTGTGGAAGTTTCGGAGAAAACGCGTGAAATTAAACAAAGATTGACTGTATTATAAGAAAGGTACAAGCTCGTACTATGCATTAGTATCTTGTGGCAGAATTTATATACTACTAACAAAAACAGGTTTTAAAAGTATGCATCTGATGTTTTGACATTTTTGGTTCTCCAAACTCAAGGTCATTATTCCTCCAACCCCAAAAAAAAAAAAAAAAAAAAATCCGGGTCATTAATGTCTCTCAGAGACATATGCAACATCTTAAAGCAAATTAATACCTGGATTGTTGCCAGCTGTTTAGTTTATATGGTGAGATTTGACGATAATAAATTATGATTAATAGGGTTGAATAATTAGGCATCCTTTGACTAATATAGAGTGGTTTGAAATAGATTGATAGGGTTGCATCTCAGCTCATTGATTTTATAGACGTTGTCAAATGGCCATGTATAAATCAAACTTACATGCAGCCATAAACAAATAAAGAAAAAAAATATATATATCTACAATTTAATTTGATGGGACGTTAATGAGAATGAGCATGTCAAAAAAGATAAGGCAAAGAAGAGATTCCAGCTGGGATTTCTCAGTGCATGAATGTGGACTTAATTAATTACAGTAGATTAGTAGTGAGTGTTATACGTGAGGCTCCAATTTCAAGTGTAATTAATTAATAAAAGAAAAGAAAAAGAAAAAAGAAGAAGTCTTCACATATGCAAAATTAAGCTGTCAAGAGAAAATTTTAGAACAAACAAAACAAGAACACCCGCCAATTAATAATATGTGTGTACCACAACACATTTCTAAAAACGCGTTTCCAAGAACTTCGCCTGTTCCCTCAATATTCTACGTGTGGCATGTCAAAAAAGATAAGGCAATATGGCAATATGGCATGTGCTGTTACTCCCTAGGCCTCCCTTCTTTCTTTCATCCTCGATCAGTCTTCAAAATTGGCATGAAGTAGAAACTTCTTCTTCAACATCTGTACCAGTTTGGGTCCAATCCCCAACTGGCTAAATACCATGTGGAGAGACGAAAAGTCGCAGTCAATTGCTGTAGATGGGGTGGGTACCGGTAGATACATCATAGATGCAGATGCAGAACTAACTCATGCATTCCTATTATATATTATACATATTTCTTTCTTCTTCACGTATTGATAATATATTATAGGATGCTTTTCTCTTTTTTTTTTTTTCTCCTTGCATAATATAGCGGTGTATAATAATATTATTGTATGTGTCACGGACGGACGGACTATCTTATCACGGAGATGAAATGGTCTTAATGAGACCAGAATATGACTTGGTACAGAATAGGTCCTTTGATTGATGAGACGAAGATCCGATTTCTTTGGATGCCATTCCATCAACAAATCAGAGCCCATGAAGATAAGTACTGGCACCACCTACTTCTGTGGATGTTTAGAAGAAGAATTTATTTTTGATCCAGCAAGATTAAGCCTTCTGTGATCACATTTTCCTATCACCTTTTTCCCTCACATATATCAGATCGCTACAGTAATTTTTCCATGAAAAATGACGAAAAATGCAATCCAAACACAACCTTAGTGATCAATTAGCATTCAATGCAATGCGCTCAATTTACTTTGCTTACAGACTGTGTATTTTTTTTTCATTAATCCAGATGCTGAGGTTATTAGCAATAAATATTAATATATGTTTCTATTCTAACCTCGTCTTCAGCATTTTTTATTTTAGACTAAAAAAAAAAACAACAAGAAGAAGAAGATGAGATATCCATCAATAATAAATATTTGAGGATGAGAAAATTTACTTGAAATTAATTTTTTGGCGTCCCCCCTATACCTAATTCTCTCCTGGCCAGAAACATTTCTTGCAATTTGTACACAGGAAGCTAAAAGAGTACAATTATTATCGTACTTCACCTACACCAGAAATATACGAGTACTAGAAAAAAGTTTTATCTGTTGTCTTTGGACTTTTAGGCCATATCCTCCACCGCCATGACCCACCCCCCTCCTCCTGCCGGAGCTTCTTTAAGCTTTATCCTATTCGTCTCTCTCACGTCCATCTGGACCGCATGGTATAGTAAAAATGCAAAAGAGATAACAAAGTACTATGCCAAAAGACCTACCAAAGTATAGTAAAAATGCAAGTCACAAAATTCGCAAGATATAATACTAAAACGCTTCAAAACTTTGAACAATACTATCTTCATTTCGTTTGTATCTTGGATTGATTTGTTCCACCATGTCACGCACCTAATTTCAGATTTCTCCGGTCTCTAAACAGTAGTAATATACAATTGAAACTATGCAACTTGCAACAACAACACCACCACCCCACTCCCCTTTCCAGTTTCCTCCCCGCCATTTCTTTCCTAAAAAACAAAAACAATTACATGAGAAAGAAAAAAAAAAGAAGGAAGTTACAGAGCACCAATAGCCCTTGGTTTCTTGCTACACTCCAACCCCAACAACTCCATTCCCCTCACTCTTTTACCACTGCAACTACTATTACTATCCATTACAACACCGTTAACTGGTAATGGTACCTTAAATATATTCACCCCAAATAATCTAACCATTTGAACCGGCTGAATAGGGATTGATATTCCGGCAGCAACCGGAGGAGCGGCCTCGGCCGCTCCATTCCTCCGTTTCCAGTCAATGTAAAGCTGCTTATCAGCTCCGGTTGATCGCTGAAAGCTGACAATGTCTCCAGCCTTCAAATTCTTCTCCTTCACAAACCTACTCCACCCTTTAGTCAGGACATAGCTCTGACTACTATTCCAATAGGAATATCGGAATCGCCATACCTTTCCACCCATATCTTCAAAGTTGAGCAACACGCCTTTGGAAGTATTCCCGCTTTGCAAAGGGAAATGCTTTTCGGCATGCTGCTTTGGTATGACTAGCCTGTTCAGCTTCCCAACATCGCTGGGAGTCACCGCCTTTTCGAAGAGTTGTTCACGAGCTTTGGTTGTCTTCTGATAACCAAACGAGTGTAGACCAGCAATACCTTTGCAGCCCTTCTTGCCATTGCCATCTAATCCATAGTTCCTCTTGCTTTGCTCCAGCTCGTCGTTGTAAGTATGTTTTCGAAGCATGTCGACAATTTCAGCCTTGGAATGGCAGCTCAAGAAAGCAGCTTCGACGTCATCTTCCTCAGCTTCATTCAAGGGCTTGAAGTTTGTGACAGCATCGCGGCCGCGAAAGCGTTGCGCCGCGATATCATAGGCTCTAGCAGCTTCCTCTTCTTCATTGAAAGTTCCCAGCCAAACCCTCTGATGCTTTTCGTAAATCTGCGCACCCCATCTGCCATTAGGCTGAGGAACCACCCCTTTGAACCTTGAGGACGGAAGTTTCCGGGATTCGGCTTCTACGCCGACTTCTGCATCGATTATCATACTGCTTGCGCCACTCCCAACTCGGCAGAGGCTCTGCTGCTCTGGCGACGACTTGATATTCACCGGTAGAGACATATTTGACAATGATGCTGGTGCTGCTGATGATGCAAAAGAGTTGTCACTGGTAGTGCTCTCATCTATGCTGCTGTTGTCCATTTCTTTCTTTAAAGATTTGATTTTGGTGTGAAGTTAGAAGAAAATATGAAGTTTAAGAGGGGTGTATGGAATGGGACGAGATATTGATGCTTTGAGAGATGAGACAGAAGAGCTACTTGGAGTATGAAAGTTGTTGTTCGGTGATGCAAGGTGGAAGTTATATATATATATATATATAGACATATATAGAGGAGTAGCAGCCCAAAGTTTTTGTGTGTGAAATATGCACTAGTAGTCGAATAAAATATGCTGATTATCAAATAAACTACTAAAAGCAAAACCAGACTAGTATTAAGCTCTTACTATAAGGAAAATAGTGACATGGAGGTGTGGTTTTGTGGGTCAACTCCAAGAGATGGTAAGGAACTAGGAAGATTCATGGATTGATTCCTGGGGAGGGAGAAGGAAGGTGTGGGGGGAGGAGGGTAGGTGTAGTAGGGGCCATGGGAGATAGTTTGAATAGTAGAAGTATGTATATGTTGTGGGCTATGTATGTGAGGTGGGGCAAAGATAAATTGAGCAAGTTGATGGGGTTCACATGAGTGTGGACCGTGTGGAGAAGCAAGTTCATCCCCCCTGATCTTTGCTGCTGCTGCTGCTGACTATCAAGCATGGCCTCCCTTTCTGCTTGCTTTTGTTTTGGAACGTTTATCTGAATTACACTTGGGAGTATTAAAGGCAGCGACAAATAATAGAGAAGATTTTGATGAGGTAGCACTAGCTGGTACTATCAGCATCAGATGAAGATAAAAGGAAATTTTATAGGAAAGAGAAACGTACCATATATTACTAGTCACCAATGTGTATATAACTAGAATGTGACGACGGTCAAAGGGGCTGGTTTTTGTGTAACAAAGGGCTCCTACTCTTGTTATTTTCGGTTAAGCAAAAAGATTTTTCCACAAAAAAGAGCTACACCGCATCAAATATTTTTTATTGCAAATAATCACCTATCCAAACACAATCAGGATCCGTTTGGCGATACGGTAATTTATTGAAAAGTATTTCATCTAATAGAGCTTTTAATAAAAGCATTTATTAAGTAATTAAGTGCTTCTAAGTATATTATTTGGAGACATAATTTAATAAGCACTTATTGTATTGGACAATCTGTAATTTTAAACTTTTAAAATATATTTATTTTTTATTTAGTTCATAATATAGTATAAAATAATTGAATTTAATGTTTTATTTTGTGGAATAAATAAGTTATTTTCAAAGCACTAAATTTTAGTTTTTTTCTTTTTTCTAAAAATGCTTTCAACACTAAAAGTTTCTTCCTCATTTTGTGTGGAATGATACTCACCGAACATCTCAAAAGTGCTTTTAACTCCTGTAAGTACATTTTTATCAAAAGCACCGTGACCCTAAACGAGTCCTCGATGAATTTTTGCACTTGCGTGTTCAATGAATTTTCCTTTTATGAAACAAGATCTCGTGCATCTAACTACCCAAATTGTTTGCAGGTAGGAGGAGACTCGATCTGGTTCCACTAGGATGGGGATCATGGGCCAATGTTTATGAGGGATGGATAGACTTGAAGACAAAGCTCATCCAACAAGAATTTCCCATAAAACTTACCTGGCTTGATTTGATTCGTCCTTTCCATCTCTGTTTTGTCTTTATTGGCCAGGTTCAACTGAGTATCTTCCAGCACAATAATAATTTCACAATATCCAAGACACTGAAAATGTCCAAAGAGAAATGGGTTTATGCTTGTTTTCCTTTGAACTATTATATAATTGAGCTTGTGGTGGCACCCTAGATAGATGAAGGATATCCCCACAAATGGCCAATTTCAAAGAAGTTATAAATTTCTTAATTTTCATTAAAGAACGTTTTTGTCTGGAAATATTATATTAATTAATGTCCTCCTCCCATTATTCAGGTTCTTGATTACGATCTGCATTGTTGATTCAGAAAGAGTGATTAGTAATATTAGTGGTTGGACAGGAGAATATTCGTTCAATTATATTTGCTTACATCATCATTACAATTTTCAATACACCTTTTTATTTTTCCAATCACTTTTTTATCTCACATACATCACATCAAAAAAAATGCTACAGTAAAAATATCTCAAATAATTTATAATCCAAACACACTTGCGGCACCGACTTTAATGTATGAGTTATTCTATAAGATATGTTTGTGTAAGCATTATTTGCACAAAAATTATTTACTTGCATCATAAATATATTTTTTAACAGATTTTTTTGTCTTATTAATAATTTTTTTTATTTCATATATATCATATTACAAAAAGTACTTCAGTGATTACAACAAAAAAGTATCCACAATGGAATATTATGCCATTTGTTATTCAAGAAGAGAAGATGCATTATGATTTCCCACAGAAAAAGAGAGAGAGAGAGAGAGAGAGAGAGAGCCAGTAATTACGAGTAGTATATTTTCACATCACGTCCATGATTTGGTTAAACTTAAAACAAAAGTGGTGGAGCTTATCCTCTTTTGCCTCTTGTTTAGTTAAATCAACTTTATCCTCAAGAAGTCATATCACTGCGTGTTGTAGCTTTCCAACCTCTTTTTACTGTTATTCTAGTGAGTTCTCTCATATTATTGGTTTGTTAGTTCCCGAACAACGTATATTTTCCAGAGGTTTTTCAATTTTACTCCAAGTACTAATATATTAACTCTAATCTTAAAAACATAGAACTTTGTCTAGATTGCAATTTTTTGTAGAAAAGCTTCTATATTTTTCGTGAACATATTTTTCAATCAATTTTTATTTCATATACATCAAATCATTACAGTACGTTTTTTTTTAAATAAAAATTCCTAAAAATAGCAATCCATATTACTATCCACCAATCATTGACATATCATATACTTCTATATTATACACTATACACTATCTACCGTTCCTTGATATGCTCTAGAAATTTTTCAATAAATTGGCACGTGTCATTTCTCAAGACTTTTGAATAATTTTATTCTTTTAATAAGTATCCATTAATTAAATTTAAATTTTAAAATCCCTACATAGTACTAGACATAAATTTTGAATGTGTCTAAAATTTGCATTATTCTTAATCATTTATAGTAGTATTGCTGTGTAATCGAGATTAACATGAAATGATAGATAGAATATGGGGTTGATTTGTACGGAACAAGTCCTTGGTGATTAGGGTCCACGAACAAGTTGATTAAAAAACCAGTAGCCATTAGACGGTGGGCGTAGCCTTTCAACGCCGGGTTTCTATGAGTTTGTTATGTCGGTCCCATTTTATTTTGAAGATTCCCCAAGCCTATTATTCTCTTTAAGTCTTTTCCACTGTATTATATTTCTTTTAATATTCAAAGTTGAATTTTTTTTCTTTTCTAATATGTGGGTAAAGGGTTTACACACACACACACATATATATATATATATATGATATAATAACCATAGCCAATTTTTTTTTTCAGTTCAATAGAAAGTGTTTCATTTATATACACATTTATGCGTGACATCCAAACAGTAGATTTGTACGTACTTTGTTTGTATCTCCGTATCAGGTTATACGGAAATGAGATGTCTCCTTACAGGTGGGAACGTATCTTAATAATTGTAGGGTTTGTCATGTCATCATACGAGAACCCTTCATGTGCTGATGAGTGAATATCAAAAAGTTGAATCATTCTCGGATGTGTCCAAATCCCAAACTAATTTAGAGTTGACCCGTGTTGAGCTTATCTTTCTCCTCCTATATATGTATTGTACGTGACTTCCGGATAGATATTAAGATGGTCTGAAATTCAAGAATTGTGCAAATTATAACTTGCAGAAGCAGAACTAAAGAGATTTATTTTATGGGCATGAGTTCTTTTCTTGCTGGTAATACCTGATGTGGATTCCAACATCTTGTAGCTAGGAACCAGGAAAATTGGAGTCTTGCAATCGAATAGGGCTTAAAGACGGGATTTTGCAGTGAGCGAGGGGATAATTGGACGGTTTGGTACTCCTGTTTTTGTTTTTGGAGTGTTTTAAAGAGATCATTATTATTTTTTTTCTTTTTTCTAAAACACCATCTAAAACACTTACAAGTTCTAAAAAGCTACAAAAGAAACAAAAAACACATCAAATAGAGTATTGGTTGCCAGTGATGGGAGAGAGGAGAAGGGATTTAAAAAAAAAAAAAAAAAATTTTGGGGTGAGAAATAACTATAGTCAATCACAGTAAAATTTTAAACAAATTCTTGAAAAAAAAAAAAACCATCCAAGCCGAACTTGATTAAAAAATATTTTGCATTTTACCCAATTGTGTTTCTTTTTTGTCTTCTCCACATGTTGCCTCGCTGGCCAAATGTTATCAAGTTCTACATGAACTTTACACTGTTAACAACACAAAAAGAGAAAAATGAAGTCATATTGGAATGGAATGAGGAAAGTGATGCAGTGGACAACACATCATCTGTCTCAGAGAAAAAGAAGAAGTTGAGATGATGTCGTCAGTTTCCAAGTTATAATTTTCCTTCATAATGGGATAAACACGACTTTGGTCGATCACATTAACATGTACGTTATTCTCATGTCGACACAAAAAAACATGGTCACTAACCTTAATGAATCAAATTACATGCAAGCGTAAGTTGTAATTTAAATCAAAGACAAGAAGAACAGAAAATATTTAAAATCAGGACTCTATCTTTGCATGATATGATGTCTCAGAGTTTCTGGCTTCTTTCCGCAAGTGATTAAGGATTCTTTACCATCAGATTAGCATGGATTATGGCATCTTAGGAAGCGACAATTATTAACTTAAAAAAAAAAGGGGGGGGGGGGATCAGATGATTCATTAACCTTATCAAAACGCAGTACCCTTTGTTCCCTGTCTCTTTCATTTTCTCACACACGCATGCATGCATGTGGACGTGAATGCTACACAGGTTATGTTATGCTCCAAAAACATTGCACTTGCAATCATGCATAGTGAAAGATCGGTCCAAAAAATATAAAGACATACATATATATATATATCTTGAATCTTTTTGGATGGTTAATCACAGGCTTAAAAGAATATATAATACTACGTACTGGTTCATTTAGTATCAAGTCCCCAATTAAGTACTTCAGTCAATATATAATATTACCTGTGTAAATTGTTGGAGACAACTCTCTCAGCTGGACTGGAGACGGTGATGAAAATCAATAATTGCG